TAGTTCAGGATTAATATTATTTAAACCATATTATGCCCCCGTAAACGAAGTTTCGGGGGTATATAGTTTTTGTCGTGTTCGTCTGTCTGTCTGTCTGTCTCTCTGTCTGTCTCTCTGTTTGTCTGTTTGTCCGCAAAACTTTAACCTTGCCCATAACTTTTGATTTAGTGGAGCTATGACTGTCATATTTCATATGTGTTTTCCATGTGACAAGACCTTTCTTAGGGTACCACCAAATTTAACCTTTTGACCTTGACCTTGGAGTTTGACCCAATTTAGCGTGAAAATTTTAAAATTTTATTTTGGCCATATCTTTTGAACAGTAAACATCAGAACATTTATACTTCACATATGTAATGTTTGTTAAAAGATCTTTCACAGTATACCAACAACCTTGACCCTTTGACTTTGACCTTGTTGATTTCTATACTTGTGAAAAAACTTTAATCTTGGCCATAACTTTTGAACGGTAAAGGATAAGGCTTTCATACTTCATATATGTAATCCATGTGAAAAGACCCTTTATTAGATACCAAGAACTTTGACCCTTTGACCTTGACCTTTGAGATTGATCTACTTTAAAAAACAAACTTTGACCATAACTTTTAAAGATTAGAGCTAGTGCTTTCATACTTTACATATTTTATCCTTATGACAAGAGCTTTAATTTGATAACATTAACTTTGACCCTTTGACCTTGACCTTGGAGCTTGACCCACTTTTACATGACAATTTTAAAAATTTACTTTGGCCATATCTTTTGAACAGTAGATACCAGGACAATTATACTTCACATATGTAATGTGTTTGTTAAAAGACCTTTCACTGGATACCAACAACCTTGACCCTTTGACCTTGACCTTGTAGATTTCCGTACTTGTGAAAAAACTTTAACCTTGGCCATAACTTTTGAACGGTAAGGGATAGGGCTTTCATACCTCATATATGTAATCCTTGTGAGAAGACCCTTCATAAGATACCAAGAACTTTGACCCTTTAACCTTGACCTTTGAGATTGACCTACTTTAAAAAAGCAAACCTTGACCATAACTTTTAAAGAGTTATTGCTAGTGCTTTCATACTTTACATATTTAATCCTTATGACAAGACCTTTCATTTGATAACAATAACTTTGACCCTTTGACCTTGACCTTGGAGTCTGACCTACTTTTTAAGAAATTGAACGTTGACCATAACTTCTGAAGGGTTAGGGCTAGGGCTTTCATGCTCTACATAAGTATTTTATTTGGCAAGAACTTTCATTTGATACTAATTACATTGACCTTTTGACCTTGACCTTGGAGATTTTTGTACTTATTAAAAAACTTTAACATTAGCTTACTTTTAAATTTCACAATTGTTTTCCAGTGAGAATACCCTACTTTTAGTACCAATTGATTAAATTTGCATTTAAGAAAAGCTTTATCTTTGATATGTTGCCATACGGGGACATCAGTGTTTTACAAACACATCTTGTTGCAAATTATATTTGCGACTTTTTATCAATTTTAAAGTTAAGAACGACTGATAATTGTCAACTAAACTTCAATGGAATTAAAAAAATACAGCCATTTTAATTCCTATTATAATATTGCTATTAATTTGGAAATTAAGGGGCAACTTTTTATTTCGATATAATATGTAACTTTGTAAAATCCGGTGATTTGATTGGTCATTACGAAGTACTTATTTTTTAATAACGACCGCTGAAAGCGAATAATGACTCGCACGAGCTGCCTCGTTTTCACTTTCGCTTTAGACAAACATGGAAGTTCTCAAGTTTGCAAGTTGTAAGTGAGGAAAAATTAAAAGATAAAGGGAAGAACTCTGAGACTGAGAATACAAAACAGTTACAGGGATATCTGTACATTTTTCGGAAATAATTTGCACATACCATTTCATGGTTGAATTCGGCTTTTCCACTCGGCGAGCAGAGTTTTGACTGTTTCCGCGATTACGGAGACTAAAGAAAATAAAGACGAGCGTACCATTTATGATTGTATCTTATCGTAGAAGAAATAGGTATTTATATTTTGTCGATGAATATATTTCCTCTGCAAGTGTAAACGAGTGCGATTCTTAATCTGGGGGAGGGGATACTCTGTGTTATTCGGAGATAGATATCTTGTGTTAATATCATGCTATGGGTTAAAATTTTAAATTCACTTACCAAAACAAGTTCCTCTGAGTAACATTCAATAAATTCTGAAACATTTATACTCAACTTATTTATGGTTAATACTATCTATGTAAACATTAGGAAGATATAGTACTGTATAAATTTGGGAAAATATTATTTATATAATATAATAAATATGGACTCAATGCACGGTCAATATGCATTTATAAAGCATATAACGCCCTCGGGCGATATAATCCATGTATCTTCGGTCAATATCTGTCATCCTGGGTCATTATAAATGCATATTGACCTACATTGAGTCCATATTTGTATAATAACGAGATAATTAATTCGTTATAACGAGAAAACTATCTCGTTATAAGGAGATAACTTACTCGTTATAACAAGTTAACTAACTCGTTATAACGAGTCAACTAAGTCGTTATAACAAGAAACTAATTCGGTATAACGAGATAATTAACTTGCTATAAGTAATTCGTAATAATGAGATAAAAACAAGTCGTTATAACGAGATAATTAACTCGTTATAACAAGATACTAATTCGTTATAACGAGATAACTAAGTCGTTATAACGAGATAGTTAACTCGTTATAACGAGTTAAATACTGTGAAATCACTAATTTTTGTGGGGGTTTAATTTTCGTTGTTTTCGTGGTATGAAGAGACCCACGAATTTATGTCCACCACGAAATGTAAATTGTCATATGCACAACTACTAAAAAGTTCTTCATCCACGAAATCAAATCCCAACGAACCTACATTTTTTCCTCAAACCACGAAAATTTGACCCCACGAAAATATGTGATTTTACAGTATTTTTTTTTTATCTTTTCAGAAGATCCTATCCGGCTTTCGTAAAATACAATTACTAGTATATATGTAAAAATATATTAAGTAAGCAATGTAGCACAGATAACTAGTTGCATAACTTACTTGAGTACAAGGTAAGCCGAAAATAGTACCATCCACATAATCTGTCGTAAATTGGTTTTCCTATTATTATTATATTTCTAAAAGATCTTAACGAGGCTGGAGGGTGGCAGCCATTTTCAGACTATTTCGATCTCCTTTAAAAGGAGAGCTCCATATAAAGATGTACAAAAATGATCAAAATTCAAAACTAAAATGTATGATTTTTTTCTTTGCCAAATGAATGTTGGCAACTTAAGATACCGTATCTAAAAAAATTGTTAAATCTGATGGTTAATTTTTAGTTAAATTGTTGACCCCCAGCCTCCTTAAATATTCATAATAATTATTGAATTATGTTCTAAAATAAATATATGTACAAAATAATAAAATGCAAATTCATTTTCAATGAATATTTACAAACGATTTTATTATAATAATTTAGTATTATTACGTTAAATAAATCCTTTGAATACATCTAAAATGTTTATGAGTTCTTCTATGACTTCGAAATACACATTTATAACTAGAGCAAAGCTCGTTGCAAAGCAATGAGTAGGTCTTCCGTCCTGTTTTCACCGGAAGTGACGTCAACAAAAGAAAGCAATGAGCTAAGTTGTCTCCAGTCACTCTATACTTTCATTTTTGCATCAAAACCTTAAAAATAAACTATTTTTGGCTGCTTCCGGTTTGACCAGAAGTGATTTTGACGGACGGAAAATTAAGTTTTATGCTTCCAGTGACATATGTTACCCAAAAACTTGTCAAGAACGGCAAAAATATGCATTTTTGACGACTTCCGGTTTGACCAGAAGTGACGTCGCCGGACGCATTTTGATGACTTCAATAGATTAAGCTTGACATTTTGAACAACTTTGCTTCTTGGACGTATTACAAATTCTAAATACTTTTTGAGATATCTGGAAAAAAACCCTCTAGATCCCTTAATTTAGGGGTCAGTCCTTTTTCTAATTCTGCACAAATTTTGTTCTATATGTTTTCACAAAATATTTTTAGTTTAGAAGATAAAAAGCAAAATATGTGTAAATTTTCGCTTTTTTAGGCGTTCTAATTTTTGACCCCTATATAGCGCCATTTTGAATAGAGAAATCGAAAAAACAAAAAACGATGTGCACAACTTCAATCCTTCTATTATCTAAAATCAGTAGAATTTCTGCTCCAGCTTTAGCCGTCTCTAAGCCTTTGTCTGGAAATGAAAGCCTATACATTTTCATTTAAAGGGAAATAACTCAAAACCGGAAGTGACTTTTTGAAATTTTAGACGACGTTCTGATAGAGTTTAGTAACTTCTAGTATCTCTGAAAATTTTAGCGAAATCAGTTGAGAAATAAGTGAGATATGAGGCTTCAAAGTTGGCGTCTAGGAAATAGAAGAAAAAAAAAGAATAATAATCTTTACCAACAGAATCAGTAGAAGGTCTTCTGTTGGAAACGAAAGACCTTAATAATGTAAACCTCTCGACCTATCAACTATACTTTCATTACTTCGAATTTCGCAATAGTAATGATGTCAACGTGTTGACCTGTCAGCCATATATAAAAGCACGATTATCAACAAATGTACTTTTAATGACATCACAGTAATATTGAGGTCAACCTGTCCGTTTGTCAACCTGTCAGCTAAACAGACATTGTGGCATGTTTATGACAAATTTTCTTTTATGGCTTCGAAATACACATTTATAATAATGTCAACCTCTCAAACTGTTAGATTTTAGTATTCAAATACGATAACATGAAAAATAATGTAGACAATATCTAATGCACAAATATTTAATATTCCAAAATTTTGAAACGTTATCAATTAAAGTTGAATATTTTGAACTCTAAAGAAAAAGTATTTCATATTTGCTTAATAAGGGTAAACTGTTTGTTGTCATTCAGAAGAAAATTAATTGTGACATTTATTTGCATCATTTAGTGAATATACCTGAAGAAATATTAAGAAGGGATATCGATGCTAGAGAAAGGTTTTTGAAAAACTTCAAGGAAGAAAATGTAAAAATGTTTCGCGCCAGAGGCATGATAGTTGGATGTGCAGGTGCAGGAAAAACAACTCTTCTTAGAAAGCTTCATGGAGGAGGTATAACAGATGAAGATGAACCCACTGAGACAACTATCGGCCTTGAGGTCCATGAAGATTTATTTATTATTAAGGAAAACAAGTTAACAGGTGATATTTTCTTTTTTTTCAAACAGTGTAATATATGCTATGTTTTAAGCGAATAATAATGCTTATTAGAGCAAACTAAAGTTCCATTTCTAATCCTTTCGAATAATACCGCATATGGTTCTCATTTGTGGAAAAAAAGGTCCAATATCAGGAAAGGTGCGTTGAAGTTCTTTAGGAAATAGTTTAGCATGCTTAGAATTAATGTAAACACAATAAAGAGATGACTACCAAATGATTAGCAAATGAATTACATTTCACCACCATCTAAGTCATCAAGTTATTGAAATGTTAATATATATTAATGTTTAGTTTTATGAAATGTTTAGGAAATAATTTTGTCAGGAATTCTCTTTTAGTTTTATATTAATATGCTTATTTTCGTACTTGAACAGATTTTGCGAATGTTGACAACAGTAGAAATCCATATCTTGACAACAACGTAATAAGCATGACAGACTTCGCAGGACAAGTGGCGTACTACGCATGTCACCAGGTTTACCTCTCAAGAAGAGCATTTTATATCGTGGTTGTCGACATGTCTAAGAAGCTTGATGAAGAAAGTCGAATGTACGACACAGATCGCCATTATCCAACAGGATCTTTATTTCACTCATGGACTTATGGAGGTAACTATCATTGTCATACATGTAACCAAGTCAGGCATATTAACATGTCCATACTACATCCTTCATTACAAACGTGTATAGTATAATTTAACTTATATGCAATTATTTAGCCTTAAAAGTAAATTCGACCCACAAAATGTCTTATTTGATCTAGCAAATATGTAAATTTTGAAAAGGGCATTAGAAAATATGTTTTGGGTTAACTCCAATCTAGAACATTGACACATTTCACATGTTCAACAATTTCGTCTAAATGGTGTATTATGATATCGAAGTAATTTCTAAATAGCAGCATGATTGAGGTTTCTGAAAAAATGCTCAAAATTAACACAATTAATCCTGGTTTTCACATAGAACACAGTCGTTACCGCAAAGTGTTGAAACAGAAAAATAATTATAACTGTCCGAGAAAAATTTACAATGAAAATATCTTGCGGTAACGAGTGTGCTCATGTTGAAAAAAATAAAATAAAATGTCATTGCGTGTAAATATGTTGAAATTAAATTTATTCAGACAGCTAATAAACGAACATTTTTTTCTTGCATGTTTAAGAATTTTATTCGGAAGAACACTTCCCTTAATTCATTGGTGTGTATGAAAACAATGAAAAGATTAAAATTGAAATAAGAAGCATGATGCACATACATCCTATTCTTTTTATAACATTGTGGATTTTCAACAGATCATTATTTTTAAGAAAATAAAATGAAAATTTCACCGATTTTCTTTTTTGATTTACAATGTCTCTTTTTCTATTTTACGGTTAGGTTGATACAAAATGGTTCTTATATAATACTCATCACTTTGTCATAGCACAGAATGAAATCATACGGTATAGTCACTAATTATAGATTTTGCAAATGGCTCAGTTAAGTGGGAAACATTCATTCAGCAAATTATGTCATTACACATTTCTCTTGAAAGCGAGAGGGTACATGTAGATAGTAATCGGTATGTCCGTCCGTCTGTCCGTACGTCCGTCCGTCTGTTAAGCTTTGGAATACCCATTACTTGCGTCTCCATATAAGTGAAAAATTCTCTAGAGGGACGTTAAACAATGTACAATCAATCAATCTATCTTAACCAACTGAATGAAATTTGATGGAGACTTTCAGAGAATCTTTATATTATGATACCATTGTGCACTTCCTATTTTGTGTTTTGATCCGATATTTTGGGTTTCATGAAATAAGTTATTTGCAAAGGTTTAGCCCATTTTGATGACTTGTCTCCTATCACATTTTAACAAATGACAAAATTACATTTTGCAGTGATAAAATATTTTGTCTTTTTTGTTTCAAAGGCAACATACTGTGGTCATAAAACTTTATGGAAAAAACAATTATCTATTCTTATTTGTTCTTTAATTTAAAGGGGCGACTGTGGTTTCCTTTGCACAATATTTCTTGCATCATAGTAAAACTTTCTTTGCTTAATTATTAAGATTAAACAAAATCAAGATACGAGGGTTGATCCAACAGAAATATCACTGTGTCAATATCTTTAATATTTGGCGTCATATTATCAAATATAATATACCAAAAGATGCATAAAGATAAATCTAATTAAAATTGAAAATTTCATTTGATAATGTATACTTGAATTAATTTTATAGACGTTTAAAATATTAAACATATGGGGGGTCGCCGCTTCACAACTAAGCGTCACGTTTTAAATTGTAAATTGTTATACTGAAATTGACAAAAACTTTAAAAAGCATCTTAAGAAAAACATCTAATCGCCCAATATTTTATAAGAGAAAGTTTTACATTTTCTAATTTTAAGTTGAAAATAAAATGACGACATTGCTTTTTGATCATAAACATTGTTGTTTTCATCAGCTGGATTGAACAAAAGAAATGTCGAAATGGAGAAAAACCGCTGAAACGATCTGTAATGTGTTTTTGCTTCAAAATGGGGAAATCGCCCGTAGAATTAGTTACGATGATAAACAGACACACAGAGGATAGAAGGTAAATAAGAGACTTGTTTATAGATGGTTTCAGCGATTTTTAGAGGTCAAGTGTCACTGAATGATCAGCAGAGGACAGAAGGACCGAAAAAGGGAGGTAGGAAGGAAACGTTCTTGAAATGGTGTCTGACCTTGTCCAAAAAAAAGACGATTAGAGGAATAGAGCGATATGAGAAACTTAAAGCTTGTATTATGGTACTGTTCAAAGAATTTTGAAAGATACCTAAATTATGTATAGACCGACTTTACAATGGGTGCCATTAATTCTTTTTAAAAGAGAAATATATGTTTATGTGTTCGCGAATCTAAAATAAATTTAATGAAACGAAGGGGAAGCGTTTAAGGGTATGACGACGTTATTTAGGTGCCGCAATTCCATAATTGCATTTTGTATATGATTCGATATTTTGAAAAGTATACATCATTTTAATTTGAAATTTTCAGGGCTGATTTGTAATATATATAGCCATGATCATTTTTAATTTCGTTAATTTACGTCGACTAGTGGCAATTTTATCGAAGTTGTGACGTTACTTTTTGATCAACCCTCGTATTACAGGTTAAAAAAATGTAATTACAATATTATAAACTAATTTTGTCACTGATCAGTATAGGTCAAGGCCGTTACAATGTGTTATTGAAGTTATGATAAACGATCTTAAAGAAAGGGGTAATAAAAATGATATTAAATAAAAAGTAATGCAATGTAAACATACTGTCTTGAAATTATAAAAAATATAATTTATTCATTTTTTCTATTTTGTTTTTCATACTAATCCTTTGTGTTTGTCATATTTTGTAGTACTCTATAAAACAGGAAAATCCGTTAATTTTTGGCATTTTGCCCCCTTCCTCCGGTAACAAGACGGTAGAATTTTGTTTTTCTTACATTTCATGAACATTTCAGCATAACTCATCAAATATCTTAGTTTGAACAAGAAGTCTATTTTGGTTTTTGTATAATCTGCTTTAAAGTGCTAAAATTGGCATTTTCCTATATAATACTATAGTAAATGTACCTGTATTTTGAGACAGTCCCTCAAAAATACCTGGACAGTAGATATCCCCCAAATTTTGATTGTAGACTAAAGTTAATGTAAGTTATGTATGGTATAAAAATGAAGAGTATCGTAATTGTGGTTTTCGGATGATAAAACCCTAGACACCCCCTTAAATTTTGTATGCATAAACATTTGGGTAGGTAAGCCATGAAGAGTCATACTCAATCGAACAATAATGTGAACTAAACATAAACATGAAATCAAAAATCACCACGGAATGCAATTTTTCTTATATAACACTACCGAATGATTCCTTAACCACGAAATTAAAACCTCATGAAATGTCATAATATCTAAGCATGGACACCGGTATTACCTCCAACTTGCTATTTTTTTTCCGGAGACTACTATTACATCATGAAGAATCATCTTAAACTATATTATTTGTGACGACTTCAGAAGTTCACATTCTTTCCTATATGTTACAAGAACTCATTAGAGGAAAATATTATGTTCAAATCAGATATTATGTGAATTTGTAAAAGCAGTATTATCTCAAGTCATAGTGCGAAGAAACACTTTATGAATTAATGCAACAATGATTTTCTTTTATTTAAAAATATATTTTTAAAAATCATTGAAACTTATAATTTATATATTATTTTCCGTTTATTTGAAGACTACTTTCACTTTTGGCTGCAAACTATAAACACTTATTGCAATGATGGAATAACACAAAAGGATCCGAATCACACAACAGTAATCAAAGACTCCAGAGCGAATGTCAATTTTCAACCGGTAATTCTTGTTGCCACCCATAAAGACAAGCTGGTAAGAGCTGTTTACACTCAATTATCAACCTACATGTATATTTAATTTACATCTGAATAAAATTATATTCTTTACATAGAAAAATTGAAATAATCATACCATATAACGTATATTTTCTGTGATTTTCACAATTTTTTAGGAAATTTGGGGATGGGACATTTCCCCAAAATACAATCGTAAAATATTTCAAATATGCCTTCAAGTATTTTTAACATGTATTACAAGTGGTGCCTATGTTTGACGAATTGATATTATTATTAGAGCATGGACCCATTCATATTTCTTGTAAGTGCAGAATTGTAGCACTCCTACAGTGTCCTCAAATAAAAAAAAACCTGTATATTGATTGCGAACAAACAAGTGCGCTGTTTCCACGATTTATTTCTCAATGTTTTTTAAAGATTATCTAAAATTATTTCTAACCGTGTGATCAACATATTCTTGCACTCTTTCCAAAATAAAGCTTTCATTATTATGATTACTGTTGTTAATCGCTCTTCTGCCCTGGAACATCGAAAAGTTCGCATATTGATACTGCTATTTTGATTTTCAAGATAATTCGATCCAAACCGCCCTGTACAGATGCAAACTACGACAGTAAGGGGAGTAAGGATTTTTTTTTTGAAATCTAGATTTTTTGCAATTGGGGTATCAATTTGGAAGAATTAATTCAGAACCTTGGGAACATTTTTGTACGCAACAAATTTACTATTTTAATGGGTGGCACTGTATTTCTCCGGTCTGTCAATATTTTTTTTCTAGGAGAGTTAGAGTTCTGCAGCTGTAATACTTGGAATTCAATGTCCTTAAAAATGATGCGTCTGCAAACGTATTGATGGATATGTCTTAGATAGCAAGAAAATATGGATGACATCAAACCCCTACAACTTCATAATATACAACTGCAAAATATTGCAGGATTTGTCTTTTCCTCTGTCTTTTGAATATTTTGAATGTTTTATAATAAATACATGCATAACTGCTCGTTTTACACGATATAGCTTGAATTTCCCGTGAATGAAATATATGGAGATAACGAACAGTATTCAAGATTAAAGTCCATAAAACATTACAAACACTCTAGCAGAGCAAAATCGGACCTTCTAAACATCAAAGGTGGGATCAGGTGCCATGGAAGAGTAAGCATACCCTGTCGACTGGTCACATTCGCCGTGTGCTTCTTGTCATGATCGTGAAATAACGGGAAAACCCGTCATCAATTAATGTACATGATAAATAAATGATTAACAATTAGTATGAAGATATCATTCAAATCGGATTAGTTACGCGTTAATGCACATGCCATGCCGCATGTGATTTTATACGATCAACTTGGAGTGGTTGATTATGCAACTGTTTGTTTAAGCTTTGAAAAATACCACAGGAATAATTTTCATGGTGAATAATTATGTTTATTTTATATTATGACTTGAATGTAGTTATAATTACTATCTCTTTGTTAGATTTTCTTGTTAAATAAAATTAAGAATAAAATAATGTACAATAAAATATTTTAGAATAAAAATTTTAATTGTTGTTTGAGTTTACTTGTACTGTTACTACTAGAATTTTTCAGGTCAACTAAGTAAACTTAGGTGATCTATTGCTGTTCGTTTTTTGTTCTTCGTCTTGTGTTGTGCAATAACATTGAAACATTTTTTGTCCGTCTTCATGAATTGACATTTGAACATTTTCAGCTTACTCTCTGCAACCACTCATTGACAACCAATTGCAATCAAATTTGGCATAAAACATCTATGGTTGACGAAAAACTAAAAAATGTGAATTTCATGGTCCCTGACGCCCTGGGTCGCTGAGGGGTTGGGCAAAAGCTACTAAAATAATGCAACCTTTAAAAATCTTTTACTTTACTCCTGGACATCAAGACGTCAAACTGTTTGCAAGACTGTAATCAGCTTATTAGAGAAACACCGACATCTTACGAACGAACGTAACTCTCCCTAACTTCCCGTATCTCTATAGTTTTCTCGGGACCAGCAATTGTACCCAAATAAAGTTTAAAATCGGAAATTATAAGTATATGTGTAAAATAGAACGGATAGTGTTTTAACCACTTGTATTTGAGTATTTGAGAATTATTCATGTCAACATTTTTGTAATCACTTACAATGTTTTTAAAAAACGAACAAATAGAAGAAAATACACCGTAATACTTTAGACGGATTTGGAAACACGTTTGTCATGCGTCAGTGATTAAACGTATATACCAACTACTTGTAGTGGCCGCCTATGGGAAAAGGTTACTTTTTACAGCTAGCTTGAAAAAAATAATAAATCCGTGCAATCAAGTAAATAGGTATAGTGCGCTTTATAGTGTCTTGTATTGAGAGAGAGAGAGAGAGAGAGAGAGAGAGAGAGAGAGAGAGAGAGATTCTTTTTTAAATTTATCAAAATATCACTTCAAAGAAATAAACGAACATTCATGGTAGACAGTATCTTCTTAGATGATGTATTAAATGGCGATCTTAACTAAATTATCTTGGGCTGCTTTTATCTTAAATATTTGTAACAGGCCTGAAGGAAGCAATTTCAGTTCGGGGGAGGGGGGGGGGGGCACAACCAAACATTTTAAGTTTAGAGTCACTACCAAACAATTCCTTGGGAAGCCATGAAAGATTTTTTTATTGAGGGGGCACAAGTATACAGTAGATAAGTTTTTTTTAATAATATTGCATTGTTTATTTATCGCTATCATTAGGGGGGGGGGGGTCATCCCCAACCCAACAACCCCGTTCCTATGTACATGTATACTAGTATCTGTTTATATACGTGGATTATAAAAAAAGCTGAAAATATGCATTTTTTAGTAAAGTTCTTTTCTTTGTCTCAAATTGATGCTCTACTTTGTCATTATTTGTTAACCATGCATTAATCGTCAACATATAACATCAGAAGATACACTTTATACTTTTGACCACCGAAAGTTAAATATACATGATATAAAAACTTTAACCGAAATTATAACTTGCTTCATCTGTAAGGAAAAATATATATCACCATCTTGTTGTAAAACAAAAACAAAAAAAATTGATTCTAGAATACCGACAAAAAGATACCGGTCTTTTAAAAGGGTGAATAATATGAAAACGTAGTTGTCACTTAGTTGTCATGGCATTCTTCAAAAGTATGTGCACACATATGCTTATCACAAGTGCTTGTAGACCAAACAACTTCCCCACCCCCAATATTCATACCAGGTCCCGAGATATTCATATTTTGTCTTCTGTCATAGATTATCCCTCTAGTAATTTACAATGTATTTCATATGATACATAGAATTCACCTTTTATTTTAAAAATCATGCTCGTATAGTATCATAAAATCACCTATATTTTTTTAACTGCAGGTATCAATATTGAATGTTGTAAATTGTAAATGTTATTAATGGAAGAAAGCCAAAAAGTTATCTTTGGACCCGGATTCATATATATTGGGTTGGGTGACGGAGGGGGAGGGGGTGAGGGGGCATTGGTCCTATGATGGCATGATATATGCTCTCATATATCTTATATTATGTCAAAAACATAATTCAATAAACTTCTATTTTTGCGCCAACCCCCCAACCCCCCCCCCCCCCCCCCCCCTGCAAAAAAAAATTATTTCAGCCTGCCTGTTCGTCTTATAATTCTGTCCATCTGTTACAGTTTTGTTTCAAGCAATATCTCGTGAAGCCTTTGAGCTTTTACAAAAATGAAATCAAATCAATAGCTTTGGGTCTTAGGTGTTAAAGGGGGGGGGGGGGGGTTGAGAATTATTTGAAGAGGTTTAAGATATATGTTTGTAAAAAGAAGCTTAATCAACCGACAAATAACGAACTGGAATCCCCCTCGATTTATAATATGGCTTTAATACCTGTATATTAAAGCCAAATAAATTTTATTTTTCGCAGCATATAGTATTTTGAACAAGAATTTCTTTTAAGTTTTTGAGTTTTTGCAATTTAATTTTAGACCATAACTCCTTATTGTCCCGACCGCCCATAGTTAAGCACACCCCCCCCCCCCCTAGATCCGCACATAGTATTACTAGTATTTATTTTTATTTCATGCCACAGAATATTTTTTTTTTTAATTTTCCTTTCATTTCCCTTCTCGAACCCCTTTGCTCGTTTAAATGTCCATTGAAATGTATTGTAGTGTCACGGTAGCGACTACGACAAGACGTGGCTTTGAGGTATCTTGTGGGGATTTTATCTGTCGAAATCCCAATAAAATTGAAGAATTCAATAATGCAACCGTGAATACAATAGAGTACAATGACTGATCCCCATTTTTAGTTACGTTCGTTCGTAAGATGGCGGTGTTTCTCTAATAGCAGATTAGAGATTTCATGTAAAAACCATACTTAACTCGAGATTCTAGCAGCACTTTCCAGGTATTTTGGAAAACGAACTTTCCATCTCTACAAATCTTATGTTTTGAAATATCCCGGCTTATTGTTGTTCTATGGCATCATTTTTGTCACGAATAACCGAGGATATGCCGACTGGGATACGTATATGGCTGACTGTTTTCGAAAGAGAATATCATCGATGAAAATAAATTAGCATACCTGTTTAATTAATTGAACTCTATATGAATATTACCGATATCTGCTTTTAAAATCCATGTTACGTATCCTTGTACATGCCGTTTTAGCCAAATTCTCTTTGCACGACATGATCAATTACTAAGTTACTTGATGTACACATATGACGTCATCAATGGTAGATTTTAATCAAAATGACAGATACAGCATACCAAAATGTAAACATTTTATTTTTGATAATGTTTACACGTTTCTATTAATTTCCTAGAGTTACATTACATCTCTAATTACATGAATTATGGAATGAGGCTTATTTCAACTTATATTATACGATATAACATAACTTGCAATTGGGGCAGTTTACGTTTTACAAAGCGGTTTATGAAAAAGTGTAAACTGCCCAAAGTTTTGTTATATCGTATAATATAAGTTGAAATAAGCTTCATTCCTTATAATTTATTTTCAGTGCAGACAATGAGATACTTTTCTCCCCGGAATAAGGCTTCACAATGATTCAATTTTAAAAGTAACGTCAAGCGGAGTAATACGTTTTTTGACGTAACTCATTGTGACGTAGTCAAGTTATGTTATCCAAAATGGATAAAGTTTTTTATCCAATCAAATGGCGCGTTACAGGTAAAATTAAATTATATGCCAATATATTACGAAAACCCATGTTCTAAAATTGACGTCATATAGCTTTCTACGACGTCAAAATATTTCACTCATTAAGTCAAGGTAGAATATTATGTATGCTTTTTTATCACCCTGCGAACTTTTTATATGATATTCAGGTGACCTATGAGACAGGTGGGCCTCTTAATTGTTTCAATTAGGACTCAACATTATGTTACAAAGAGGAACTATAAAAGTTAGAAGTTTGATTATGTTTAATAGCATAATACCAGTTCTCATATGTAAATTTCATTGATACATATTCTGAATGAAAAAAGTAAACATAGATTGTTATAATAAATCGTAGATTTTGATGATCCTACCCTGTATTATATATTGTTTGTGGTATAGTGCAACCGCAGAATTGAAAACGCAAAAATTAATATGCTATTTTTAGGGGTTAAATCGAATAAAGTTGAACCGCAGAAAAATACCCGTTTTACCTAATTTCATTCTTGTTCTGCAGGTAGAGATTCACCCTCTTGAAAACCCATAATCGAACAGAACCTCATGTAACATTTATCTTTAACTTTCTTTGTACGTATATATCACAACTCCAGAGGAACAACTGGGCTGGAATATACATTAAAGAAAGCTTATCTTAATACAATGTTTTCCCTCCATTGGCAAAAAGCTGGGTAAATTAAATCTTGTTTATTTGTCAGTCTGTCAGTATATCAAATAAACTTTATCTTAGATTATATATATTGGTCTTTAGGTCTGTAGATTCCTAAATATACACGTGCACTTGGTATAAATTATATTTTTTTTGCGAGATGCAATACGCGGCGAAATAAAATTACTCGCTTTTATTGCAATGGTGCTGAAATCCATTTAAAATCTTTTGATCACCCGTTCATTCGTGAATTATTATTCTCGCGATTTGTCGATGAAGAGCTCATTTGCAATAAAAAGTACTCAGGAATAATAGGGAATCTACAGTATACTGTGACATCTACACACTGACCCTGACCTTGACATTGACAATTGACCTACTTAACAAATATTTTAACATTGGCCGGAGAAAGATACAAAATACCACAAAATTGCACCTTATTAACCAAAAAAAAAAAAGAAAAATAGGAGACCACAATTGCAAATCTATGCATTTGCTCAGTTGATAACAATTTTGATTAAGTCATAGCGTTTTGATTCATAGCTTAATTTTGTTTATAATGTAAGATAAGTAAAATACAAATTTAAAGACTGAAAATTGTAAATTAGAAGAAAAACAGAACCAAAGTAAATTGGGAAAAGCATTGTGTTTAATGGGAAACAATACTAATAGTAGTTTGGAATCAGAAAGATAGTGGATTTTTCAGTTTTGTATACATCATTCAGTTGACCTTTCTTTTGATTTAAAAAAAAAACACATCAGCGATTAAATGAAGGCTATAGATAAAAGGATCTACAAAAATTTTTACTAATTATTTCTATAATAACAGTATATTTATTGCCACCTCTCGTAAATGAGCATCTTTATTTAGTTTAATTTTTAAAACATTTTTTTTACATTTCAATTTTGATTTGCAATACCTTGATTAATTTTCTTCTATTTGAACAGGGCACAATTTTGCACACATCGGATACATTTTACAGTCACCTAGAAGCGAGTTTATCTAACGAACAAGCGTTGAAAAGGATCCTATCGCCATTCCGATATTTTGAAGTAGAATGTCCACCAAAAGAATTGACTTGTAATCAGCAAAGCTCAATTAACTTTGTTAAGAAATGTATTGTGGAAACTGTACAACAGCTGCCACAGTGGGGAGAAAAGATCCCTTTAAAATGGTTTGAATTGGAGAGAATTCTTAATCAGAAGAAATCAAATGGAGATAGAATTTTAAAGAGGAATGAACTGAAAGAAACAGTAAAAACTTTTTCTATGGACGAAAATGACTTAAATGATGTTCTCCATTTTTTACACGAAATAGGAAAAATCATTTATATTTCTGTGGATAAGCTCAAGGAAACTATTATCATTGATGTTCAGTGGTTTGTTGATGCATTCAAGTATATCATAACTGACGAAAAGCATTTTGCTAGGATAGACAACAAGAACCCACTCGTCAATACCGGGAAAATTACTGGACAGTACATTGAGGAGATATGGAAACGTACCGTAGACAATCATGTACATTGTTTTGATAAGAAAGTTACTATTAAAACCGATAAACATCCTGATTCCTTATGGCAATCTTACTTAAATCATAAAGATGAAATTCTACAGTACATGGACAAACTTGGCCTGATGACAAGAATTGAAGGACATGTAGGAGCTAACAATGAGGAGGAGATGTATTACATTCCGAGCATGAACCGAACCGACCTTTCCGATGACAGTAAAGATGAAATCAAAGGACAACAAAAATCAGCTATGATGGTGTACTTTTTTAAGTCCTATCTGCCCCATTTTTTCTTCTTTCGATTGGTGGTAAGTTGTTTAAAGAAATGGAAAGTTTGCGATGAAAATTCTTTTTTTAAAAACGCTGCACTTTACAAGGCAGAAGAAGCTGGTCATTATTTTGCCATCGCCGTCAGCAAAACATCCATACAGTTGCAAATTTTTACACGTGATGAAACCGTGAAACTGGGTGAAGAATGCGTCAAGAAAATCAGACAAACAGTGGAAGACTTTATAAAGGAAATAACAGAAACCTTTCACAAGGAAATTATCTATGATATTGGTTTTTCATGTAGCGACATAAAAATTACAGATGAAGACGAAGAATTCTTTTTGAAAGGGACAGACATTAAACAAGAAATTGGAAATTTGAATGAAATAACTTGTCCAAAACATTTTATAGGTAATACCAAACACAAAATAGATGCAGGTAAAATACGTGTGTGTTTGTTGGAGAGAAAGTCAACTTCATTTTCAAGTGACAATTAGAAAGTTTTTTTTCAAACCTGCAAAACTTTCATTATATTTTGAAAAAAGGTGTTGCGCTTCTGTACATAAAACGTTAATTCCCAAGGGACAAAAAAAGAAAAAAAAATAGATACACAATTATAGCTTGATAAAGTATATACTTACGTTATATACAGTGTATCTCTAAATTTGATACTTTGTCTTTACGTACAACTTTATTATATTGTTTAACATGTATGCGATAAGAATCTTCCTTTATTTAATTTTTTTCTTTTGTTATTGTTCTTTTTGACAGGATATATTAGCATGGTAACCATAACCCAAAGAAATAAAATTATCTTTACCCGGTTTATGTTTGTGGCTTGAGATCCTTCAATCTGAACGAGTTTTAGAATATTAATATGGCTGTGTCTTTTTAGGTGCATTAACATTTTTATGAGTGCACATGTTAGTGATCAATTCATTACAGAGAGATGCATTGTGTTCTGTTGGTTGCATTAACTTTTATGAGTGTATATGTTTGTGATCAATGATTACAGATAGTTGCCTTTAAGTCATATGACGTTTTGTGATGCAATGGTGTTGTCTAAATTGGTACGGTCAGGCTTTATATACATTATTTCTCTACTGGCAAGCAACTTTTATTTATCACTTTTAGAATATATAATAAATAAAGGACATCAACGTCCAATTCACTTTTCTTTGAAAAACATTATTTGAACAGAAGCTGTAAAAAAAGTTTACTACTGTGAAAACATTAAATGATGATCAAAACATACATAAAAATGTTTACTACTGTGAAAAAAAATTAAGTTTTGATCACCATATAAATATTATACTGTATTTAACATTAATGAAAAATAATCAATAATTCTCATCTTTTTCTCAAGCTCCAGTGGGCCAATTTCAACCAAACTTAATGGCATCTTTCAAAAATCTTCTTCTCAAAAACCGAGGGGCCAGGAAAGATAAAACTCATGTGGAAGCATCTGCCGGTAGTGTAAATTCAGGATTGTTCAAATTATAACCCCAAGGAGTAGGGTGGGATCATGACAGGGGATCTGTGTTAGGTCACACAAAAAATAATCCTTTGTTGATCATTGTTGATATTGCGTTAAATCACCTTCGAAAAATTAAATTTATCGCTTACATGTTTATCTCATGAAGAACACACCTGAGCATTTTTTTCACAACAAAGTACATATACTACCTTTACACGGACAATATTTAAGCTCCTTTAAAAATCATTTAAAATATCTGATTTTCCTTTATTCTTTAAATATGCATATTAATATGAAAATTACTATAAATTCTATTCAATTAATTTCTTAATTTTGAAAAGATGTATTATGACTAAGGCTTCTACTAATAGAGAAAAAAAATACTCGGGTTTGAATTATCTTCATTATTAGATATATCCGATAAACTTATTTTTTTTTCAAAATTGACTTCACAACAGATCTTAACTTCCGTCAGGAACTACTGTTTGTCAATAAGGTTTTTGATCTGCGTTTTCCATGTAAGGATTGTTGTAATATAAACTATTAAATCAATCCTATAATTTATTTTTATATCTATGAAATGACGTACTTTTATTGTGTAAGATAATAAGTGCCTTTTTCGGGTTAAGCGGCTTTAATTGCATGAGAAAATATTGTCAATCTATCTTCTCTTTTTTATGTAAAAGTTATATAATTAGACTCTAGGGAATACCAAAATATCGGAAGACCTAGTCTCTGTGATCCATATATGGTCATTGAGACGTTCTAGCATCTTTTGATATCAATCTGGGAGATGTCCATTGACAAGGTACGAGAATAGACGAGATCCACAGAGAATCGGTATATATTGCATAAACAAAACATACACAATTGTATAACCTTTGATACATTTAAAACTTTAAATTTCTTACTTAGACCATGGAAGCTTGTCAATTGTTTAAAAACATCCCTGTGTCATATCTTTGACCAGGAAAGCACGTGAAATCCTGTGTATTTATTAACATTACAATACTGTAATAAGAGCCACTCTAAAAAACATCTTGTACAACGGATTTGAGAAAACTAAAAAGTTAAAAAGTAGCCTACAATGTTATGGTAAACTGCACAATTATGTATGTACACCATATGTACACAATAACGTTCTCATTATATTATACTTGTACGAAGGACACTTCATGGACCTGATATCTATTGCTGGTTTGACAAAGAACTTTGACGTTTTCTTTTATAAAATGTACCTTAACCAAACTAAATGTCGTCTATCCCATTTATAATTTATATGTCCATTGTGTCTTTTTGCAGGGCGAGTGTGATGCATTTTTTCAGTAAAAGGTACCATCCGAAAATGTTTCGTTTATTTCACACGCATGAATTACTGAAAATGCTGATTTATAGTTGGATTGAACATGTTGAAAACGGTTAAAGACAGATATATCTTAGCCGAGTTTTGTAATTTACTATTTATAATTAGCTTTCCTTTGTTTGGTCTCATAACATTTTTTTAACCTTTACAAAATGGGTACTTAAATTAATTGTACTTTCTATATAATTAAATAGCTTAATTATAAAGTCACAACAACGGCAAGAGCAATGGTTGAGTAGGTTTCGGAGCCAAGATTGTGAAACTCATGTAGTTATCGTATCAGAAAAAGTCTCAGAGCAAAGATCTTAATCGATCATAGTTCATCTAGTAGTTAAGATGTTAAAAGCTATTTATACCTAATATGGACACCATTTTACAAATAGTTGTAGTGAATGGATCACGTATTTGGTATTAGCATTTAGCGACTTAAAGTGCTACTTCATTATAAATGATATAATCCGCCCCTTACTGATCTCCTTAAATAATACGGATATGTCCTCTGGTTATATAAACGTTGTGTATTTTGCAAACTTTTTAAAAAAACTGAACTTGAAAGTGCCGATGTTCGAAAACAATACATCATACAAACTAATTGACCATCAAAAGAAGATGCTCTTCTAATCATATCTAATCTCTCAGAGTTTGAAAACACGTTCATAAATAAGAGGTTTTTGTCCGGCACTCTACGCTCTGATAGTATCAATTATAATTCATAACACAATATCAAAATATTAATAAAGGCAATGTACAAAATTATTATGTTTAAATTAAAATTAGAATTTGTAAGCTCGTAATTTAAATCAGTAATCCAGTCAAATGCAAAAGTCGATATAAAAATAAGGGAAGTTATAATGACATCAGACGTTGTCTTTTTCAAAGATTAGTTCATGTAAACGCACATTCAGATTTTTTTTGTCTTTCGCTGTCCACATCAATTATTTGCAAGACTTCTTTCGAATGTATTTCCTGTAAATCATATGCTTCTTTCACATGCTGCGTTGAACTAGATTTCATGTAAGTATAAAAGCAAGGCCGACTCAAGGGAGACATAACATAATAACCAGCAGGGCAATTCGTCTTCAATGAACCTGACGATTTTCCATTTTAGTTCTGGTCCAGAATATGCCTTCTATAGATCAATAATATCCCAGTTTTACACCTTCTCTCTGGTCCAGGTATGTCATCTACAGATCAGCAATATGCCAGTTTTCCACTCTCTCTCTCTCTCTCTCTCTCTGGTCCAGGTATGTCATCTACATATCCGCAATATCCCAGTTTTCCACTCTCTCTCTCTCTCTGGTCCAGGTATGTCATCTACAGATCCGCAATATCCCAGTTTTCCACTCTCCATAATCACGTAATAGGTAGGATACTTCACGAGCCTGATATGAAAAATGTAATCAATTTCTATTTTATTTTAACTGGTTCACAGACAAACACGTTTTTTCGTAAAATCTTTCTCTTCCCAAATTATTCCTTGTCTATGCCATCCAAACTTCATGTGTCATTCACTACATTTTACTGGTCGGATAAGATACATTTTAAAGAAAAATGTATCATCTTTGTCTTATCGAAAAGGCTAACAGATTTCACAATGATGAACTGCTTAAAAGTTCTGTTCTGTTCTGTTAGAAATGGTCAAAAAGACAGCTTTCTATTGCTATAGCTATTTTATGCAAATATAGCGATCCCGTTGCATTTAATTTGTTGGCGACCATTTCTTGGATTATAATTAGGGGATCCAATTTTTGTACTGCTGCCAAAGACGTGATGTAATCTTCTTCCTGACATTATCATATTGGAACTCTCGGGCTTTATGACTTCCTTTTGAATATAGCGCGTGGGAACATTTAATGTAAGCATTAAAACATGCCAGATGGGTGATAGCAAGTATGCCGATGTCTTCTATTTTCATACGATTTAACAATGTCATTTTAAAACGTGAGTATTAATAAACGTAATTAAAAAAAAAACAAGATAATTTATGTATCGTAAACTGTATCTTATATCTTGTCCTGGAGATACTCATAAACAGTAAGAGAAGAACCGCTTCCACTTCCCGCCATTATACTCTGTAGACCAGTAACACATAAGGCACGGAGGAGAGGAGAAGACTAATCTTCTTCAAGTAGAATAGATGGAAGCTCGCCATTCCGGTTTAATATATGGATTCCAAATTCATTGTGTAAATTAATGACGTAACTAAGACCGGGTTTGATTTTCTGTCCAGAACTTAGACACACTAATATATTTCCCATGAAATCTGTGCAGATTCCTGTCGGTCGAATAAGTGATAACGAATAAGAACCAGAGTAGGAAAATCGATATTGTCCTGACTTGGAAACAACAACAACCTCACTAGCATCGAAGTCCGATGTGCAGATGTCACCATTGATGTTTTCTGTGATGTACGTTACACTAGAGTATAAGTCTTCTCCATTATCATGCTTTTGAATATCTTCTAATTTCTTCCCTATTTTGCTATATTTTGCAATTTTCCATTTTGTATTTTTTTCATTCCCACTAGAATTTCTCCATTGATTTTAGAGGAGTAGATAGACCATGGTGCCCATTCCCCTGTAGTGAGTAGAGGTGTGGTTTCCACATCACCGTCTACTTTGTAGATGGTCTTTTTTTCTTAATCTGTATAAAGAAGATCTTCCTCTGTTGTGACCGTATGGTATCCATCCACCTGTATTTTCAAGACAAGTTCCTGAAGTATATTACCTTGCATGTCAACTCCGTTGATACTCGAGATAAATGAAAAACTGCGCTTAGACCTGATATTTTTAATTCCTGTACTTTTGTCACAAAACCAGTTGGTTCCATGATGACAGGCTGTGGGCATAATACAATTAAAGTACCATCCGGCCCAGTTTCGTCATTGTATTTTGGAAATCTTGGGTCTGTACCTGGTTTGATAAAACCAAATAGCCTTCCTACTTTTTCCTTTGTAATTATTCCCTTTGTAAAGGTTGGCACCCGTGGTTCAGTAAGTTCTGGAAAAGTTATAAGAATATCGTTTTCTATCTCCTTGCTGAATGTCATAACTAGCTCAGATGGTTTCCATGTAGACATGTCAATACTGTAGTCCACAATCTTTTTCTCAAGGTATAGGATATAGTCTTCTGACTCCTTTTCTTGTTCGGCCATTTCACCCAGTATTGAAGCCTCCATTATGTCTAAATTGGTAGTGTTGTCATCTAAAACAGTGTCCACAGTTATTTTAATCTCATCAGCACTCTGCTTCATAGATAATCGTAAATTTGCAATTTCCTCTTTGAAAATTTTTATTCCTTCTTTCTGTGATTTTACTTTCCCTAAAGATTCGGGAAGGACGGTGTCCCGGATGTTCATCAAGTTTTCATTCCATTGTTTTAGACTTTCATTATTAGCAACTTCAAGATCAAGTGTGACCATTATGATCTTTGACAAAGCATTTTGAACAAACAGGGGCGGGACATTGAACACAAAAAACTTCTAGGATTTTTGCAGGGTGGATTGGGCATATTTCTGTTGGGAGTTCCCTAAACCTTTCCTAATAAAGGACTACAGCATGTTCTTTGTTTTTATCGCCCAAAAGATGAGCATTTCTGCATTGCCCACACATGCGAAGACGACAGGTGTTGCAGTAGAATTTGGAGTAGTTGCTACAGGTGCCACACTCTATGTAGTGTAGAGCACTCCCTTCACTGTGGCTCATAATTGCAGGTGAAATTGATCTGAATTAAAAAAAGAACAGGGCAATGTTGATTCTAAAATTGTACTAAATTACCCTTGTCTCTCCAATTATTGTACGTAGATTTTTAATTTGGTCGCAGTACTGGATCTTGGTTTGTTTGATTTGAATTTTTGTTTCTTAAAAAGATATGAATTTCCCTATGATAATGCAAAAAACTCACATTTTCTCCTTGTTTCTCGATGATCCTATTATTTTTTGGACTTCTTTTTGTCTGTCATTGTCACACCAATCTGTTCAAGTGCAGTTTTATCTATGTTCTATTAATCTATACGTGTAATAAACAAAAATGAGACGATGCTTGATAAAGTCCTGCGTAGTTTACATTAAGTGGATTTTGCAAGAAAAAAAAGGTTAAAGATTAAGTAAATACTAGTATTTTCTGATGTAGAATACTCTAGAATGCTAAAAATAAAAATTCTATGTGGAGGCCTAGTTTTTCATGATTTAATTTTTTTTTACATTTTAGAGCCCTTATTCCAAATATACAATGATGAGTGAACTCTTACTCATGCAGTGGTCTGTATATAAATATACATAACTTAAAATTATTGTATTGCTCTTATATATAATACACTGATATATGAAATAATTACTTTCATTATTTACAAAGTCATAAAAAAATCACAAAGACTGAATCTTCATACTCCGTATAAACCGAGCAGGTTTGGCACGATAAAGATCCCTCCCTGCTCAAAGGCCGTAATTGCCGAGCATAGGCCTAAATTTGCAGCCCTTCATCGGCAATGGTGACGTGTCTATATCAGTGAAATATTCTGGAGAGGGACGTTAAACAGTATACAATCATTATATTAGAATATTAATATTTGGGAATTAAACAGATAAACAACTAGATACGATCTCGTATGTGTTTTCGCCTAAACCTGATTCGTTTTTCTCATTTTTTTTTAAATTCACTTCGGTCGGAAGTCCCCCCCCCCTAATCGAAATTAAGAAGGCCTTTTTGTCTGCAGCAGAACTCAAAATGATTAAAGCTAGAGCACTGAAATTTTTACTAAAGATAGAGGACATGTTGCCATTGTGCACCTGGGTCAGGATATTTTCCGGAAGTGCCTAGTATGGAAGCTCGTTAGGGGTCGAAATTTAGGACACGAATCAGGAGTGAATTTTCGAGAAATTTTGTGTCATATCTTTTAAAGTATAATTATTTTGTTTAAACATACTGAGCAATATATTTTCAAATATAATGTACCAAAAGATGCATAAACATAAATCTAATCAAACTTGAAAATTTCACTTAATAATGTTCAATTGAATTCATTTTATAGATGTTTAAAACGTTAAACATAGGGGGTGTCGCCGCGTCACAACTAAACGTCACGTTTTAAAGTTAATTTTGTTAAAATGAAATAAGATAAACACATTTTAAAAAAGCATCTAAAAAATCGTCTAATCGTCCAATATTTTAAAAGACAAAATTTACGACATTTCTAATCTTTAGTTAAAAATTGAATGGCAGTATTGGTTTTTTTTTCATCATTAACAGAATCGTTTATATCTGATGTCTTGCAGAAAGGAAATGTCGAAATGGAATAAAACACCAAAACGAGTTGAAATATATTCTTCCTTCAAAATCGGGAAGAATATATTTCAACTCGTTTTGGTGTTTCATTCCATTTCGACATTTCTCCTTCAAAATCGGGATCGGTCACGGTAGCTTAGTGGTAGAGCGTTCGCTTTGTGATCGGGAGGCCCGGGTTCGATTCTCGATCACGGCGCCGCGTCATACTTAAGACGTAAACAAAGGTAGTGACTGTTCCTTCGCCAAGCGCTCGGCACTAGAAGTGAAAGTCACGGGTCCTACGGATATGACCTTAAAAACGTAGGTCCCGTGTCACGGTAGGCGTTGGCACGATAAAGAACCCTCACTGCTCAATGGCCCTGAGTGCCGAGTATAGGTCTAAATTTGAAGCCCTTCACCGGCATCGGTGACGTCTCCATATGAGTGAAAAATTCTCAAGAGGGACGTAAAACAATATACAATCCATCAATCAAAATCGGGAATTCACAAGTAGAAACAGTTTTGATGTTAAATCAAACTCGCAGAGTTTAAAAGAATGTTAACGAGAGATTTATTCATATATGGTTTCAGAGATTTTGGGCTGTAATAGGTAAATAAATGATCATTTTGGGACAGAAATACCGAAAGATAGGAGGTCGGGTGGAAACGTTCAATGGTGTCGAAGTTGTCGTAAAAGAGATTAGTTACAGTTTGAGTGATATGAGATACTTTTAAGTTTGTCTTATGGTATTGTTCAAAGAATTTTGATGAAGGATAAAATGATAGAAAATTGTACAATTGGTGCCAATTGTTCTTAAAGAAAATAAAATATGTGAATGTTTTGTGAATATCATTTTTTTTTATAAAACGATGGGAAGGCGTTTTTAAAAGTGTGTGACGGCGCATATCCGTTTTATGACGTTATTTAGATGCGGCGACTACCATAATCGCACTTTGTGTTTAATTCGATATTTGAAAAGTATAAATCATTTTAATTTGAATTTTTCAGGACTAATTTAAAATAAATATAGCTTCCATCATGTAAAATGTTGTTAATTTACGTCGACTATGAAAAATTTTATCGAAGCTGTGGCATTACTTTTGGATCAACCCTCGTACCTATCAAATTCATATTAGAAAACATGATAAAGCGCTGCTTCCTAGGTCAGAATTTCACACAGTTGTATGTATGTATTTATAAAAAAATTCATATATCTGTTAGCAGGGGTTATCTGTCTTGCAAATATTGATTTCCTTTGAAAAATAACATGTTCTATTGATAAAAATTCCAAATTAAATTCAGTACTCAAAACATTAAACAATTTTCAATATGGTCCTTAAAAAAAGATAGATCTTACTATCATAGTATTATTTAAAAGGCTTTTGATACTGAATTTGGATTTTTTTTTTTTTGTTTAGATATACTGAGTAATAAAACAATTTGAAAAGCTTAGGCAAAGGAAGTAGAAGCTAATGTTTCCCTCATATGTCAAGCTCGTTTAAATTTACCACTCAAAGGTGTCAATTATGAACCTCTGATAATGAAAACTGAGTATATAGTATTTAGATTGTCTACTTGGAAAGTTATCTCTCTTATCACAGGGTCGGTACCCCTCAAACGCACTTCCAGATTTTTTTTTATCTTTCGCTGTCCACATCAATGACTTGCCAGACTCCTTTTGAACGTATCTCTAGTAAATCATATGCTCCTCTCACATGCCCCGTTGGACTAGATGTCATGTAAATAAAAAAGCAAGGCCTACTCAAGGGAGACATTACATAATAAGGCAGTCTATCTTCAACAGTATCCTGTTCAAATACACGTACAATTTAATTTTTCAAAATTTGTTTTGTAAACTTTGTTTAAATTGGGTATCAAAAGTTATTTTATAGCAATATACTGTTCAATGAACCTGATAATTTTCCATTTTCCGTCTGGGTCAGGCAACCCCTCTACAGACCCACAATATCCCAGTGTTCCACTTTCCATAATCATGTAACAGGAAGGATACTTTACGGACCTAATATGAAAAATGTTATCAATTACTCGTTCTTTAACTGGTTCAAAGATAAACTTGCAAGCTCTTTTCCGTAAATTTTTCTCTCCCCAAATTGATCCTTGTCTATCCCATCCAACTTTCATATGCCATTCAGACCATTTTGCTGGGCGAATAAGATGCATTTTACAGCAAAAGGTATCATCTTCATCTAACCGAAAAGGGTTTATGGATTTCACACACATGAAATGCTGAAAATGTCTAAGTTCTGTTGGGTTAAAGATGGTCAAGAAGACAATTTTCTCGAAACGTTCTCCACCATTTCGCAATCTGTCTTGTCGGTTTCCTTGATAACGGCGTAAACGCCACTAGTGCTAGCTTGGTCAACATTACTACTTTTCTTTATTGCATAAAGTTGCCATAGAACTAATGTCCTCAAAATCGCCAAGCGTGAGTAGAGATCTATGTAAGCGACAGCACGACTAACAGACTTTATGTCTGGTTTTGTCATAAGATTTTCTATGTTCACATCTAGTTTTCCCAGAAATTCTACTCCTTTTTAAATCGGAACTCGATCCTAAAGAGTCTTTATTTCTTCGTCATTTGCCTCGTTATGAATTCCCTTTAAGTACGCGTGTGTCGTCTAAAACAAATCTTCAAGTCCACATGCTTCTGACGTAATCTCGGAATCTTGAAATCGCTCGAAGGGTGCATATGTTTCATCCTCTTGGATTTTTTGGGCATTTACTCTCATTTTATCTCCGACAACTTGAAAAATACTTGTTATCGTTCCAAGGGTTTTCGCCACAGATTCAGCAACCGGAAAATTCTCTGCGATTTTCTTGGAGCATTGGCATATATTCGCTAATTTGGAAAAGATATCTTCCTGTAGGCACCTAGCTACTTCTTATACACAATTGTGTAATTCATATACAGTTTTGCCTACTTCTTGTGAATTTCTAGGACTTTTATTGATTGATTGTATATCGTTTAACGTCCCTCTTGAGAATTTTTCACTCATATGGAGACGTCACCGATGCCGGTGAAGGGCTTCAAATTTAGACCTATACTCGGCACTCAGGGCCATTGAGCAGTGAGGGTTCTTTATCGTGCCAACGCCTACCGTGACACGGGACCTACGTTTTTAAGGTCATATCCGAAA